CCTGTCAAGCATGTCAAGAAATTAGAGAAAGTTCAAAGGTTTGCAACAAGGTAGTTCCAGAGCTAAGGGAAATGTCCTACGAAGAAAGGTTAAGGGAAATCGGCCTGAAGACCTGGTTTACAGGAGAGTTAGGGGAGACATAATAACGACATACAAAATACTGCGAGGAATTGACAAAGTGGACAGAGACAGGATGTTCCAGAGATGGGACACAGAAACTAGGGGTCACAACTGGAAGTTGAAGACCTGGATGAGTCAAAGAGATGTTAGGAAGTATTCCTTTAGTCATAGAGTTGTCAGGAAGTGGAATAGTCTGGCAAGTGATGTAGTGAAATCAGGAACCATACACAGTTTTAAGACGAGGTATGATGAAGCTCGTGGAGCAGGCAGAGAGAAGACCTAGTAGCGATCAGTGAAGAGGCGGGGCCAGGAGCTATGTCTCGACCCCTGCAACCACAAATAGGTGAGTACACCTATCGTACACACACAGAAGGTACATACATGAGTGGACACACACACACACACATAGTACACACACACACACACCTAGTAGCGACCAGTGAAGAGGCGAGGCCAGAAGCTTGGACTCGACCCCTGCAACCTCAACTAGGTGAGTACACACACACACACACACACAAGGTACATACATGAGTGGACACACACTGTGTCTGACATGTAAGACAGGGACACCAGGGACACCTGGGACACCAGGGACACCAGGGACACCAGGGCTCCACTCAAAACTATAACAAAAAACACAAAATAAAATGTACAAAGGTACACTTCAAAAAACATAACAATGTACAGCTCAAAACACCGACAATATATATTACAATATGAAAACAGACTTAAAATTTAAGAAAACATAGCAGGGAGGATTACTGACCCGGCCAGAGTACAACAGTAGTAAAACAAACACAACGTGACCCGGCCAGAGTACAACAGTAGTAAAACAAACACAACGTGACCCGGCCAGAGTACAACAGTAGTAAAACAAACACAACGTGACCCGGCCAGAGTACAACAGTAGTAAAACAAACACAACGTGACCCGGCCAGAGTACAACAGTCAGTAAAACAAACACAACGTGACCCGGCCAGAGTACAACAGTAGTAAAACAAACACAACGTGACCCGGCCAGAGTACAACAGTAGTAAAACAAACACAACGTGACCCGGCCAGAGTACAACAGTAGTAAAACAAACACAACACCACAACGTGACCCGGCCAGAGTACAACAGTAGTAAAACAAACACAACGTGACCCGGCCAGAGTACAACAGTAGTAAAACAAACACAACGTGACCCGGCCAGAGTACAACAGTAGTAAAACAAAACACAACACCACAACGTGACCCGGCCAGAGTACAACAGTAGTAAAACAAACACAACGTGACCCGGCCAGAGTACAACAGTAGTAAAACAAACACAACGTGACCCGGCCAGAGTACAACAGTAGTAAAACAAACACAACACCACAACGTGACCCGGCCAGAGTACAACAGTAGTAAAACAAACACAACACCACAACGTGACCCGGCCAGAGTACAACAGTAGTAAACAAACACAACACCACAACGTGACCCGGCCAGAGTACAACAGTAGTAAAACAAACACAACACCACAACGTGACCCGGCCAGAGTACAACAGTAGTAAAACAAACACAACACCACAACGTGACCCGGCCAGAGTACAACAGTAGTAAAACAAACACAACACCACAACGTGACCCGGCCAGAGTACAACAGTAGTAAAACAAACACAATGTGACCCGGCCAGAGTACAACAGTAGTAAAACAAACACAATGTGACCCGCCAGATTACAACAGTAGTAAAAAAACACAACGTGACCGGCCAGAGTACAACAGTAGTAAAACAAACACAATGTGACCCGGCCAGAGTACAACAGTAGTAAAACAAACACAACGTGACCCGGCCAGAGTACAACAGTAGTAAAACAAACACAATGTGACCCGGCCAGAGTACAACAGTAGTAAAACAAACACAACGTGACCCGGCCAAGTACAACAGTAGTAAAACAAACACAATGTGACCCGGCCAGAGTACAACAGTAGTAAAACAAACACAACGTGACCCGGCCAGAGTACAACAGTAGTAAAACAAACACAATGTGACCCGGCCAGAGTACAACAGTAGTAAAACAAACACAACGTGACCCGGCCAGAGTACAACAGTATAAAACAAACACAATGTGACCCGGCCAGAGTACAACATTAGTAAAACAAACACAACACGTGACCCGGCCAGAGTACAACAGTAGTAAAACAAACACAACGTGACCCGGCCAGAGTACAACAGTAGTAAAACAAACACAACAACGTGACCCGGCCAGAGTACAACAGTAGTAAAACAAACACAACGTGACCCGGCCAGAGTACAACAGTAGTAAAACAAACACAACGTGACCCGGCCAGAGTACAACAGTAGTAAAACAAACACAACAACGTGACCTGGCCAGAGTACAACAGTAGTAAAACAAACACAACAACGTGACCCGCCAGAGTACAACAGTAGTAAAACAACACAAACGTGACCCGGCCAGAGTACAACAGTAGTAAAAACAAAACACCACAACGTGACCCGGCCAGAGTACAACAGTAGTAAAACAAACACCACAACGTGACCCGGCCAAGATACAACAGTAGTAAAACAAACACAACGTGACCCGGCCAGAGTACAACAGTAGTAAAACAAACACCACAACGTGACCCGGCCAGAGTACAACAGTAGTAAAACAAACACAACAACGTGACCCGGCCAGAGTACAACAGTAGTAAAACAAACACGTGACCCGGCCAGAGTACAACAGTAGTAAAACAAACACCACAACGTGACCCGGCCAGAGTACAACAGTAGTAAAACAAACACCACAACGTGACCCGGCCAGAGTACAACAGTAGTAAAACAAACACCACAACGTGACCCGGCCAGAGTACAACAGTAGTAAAACAAACACCACAACGTGACCCGGCCAGAGTACAACAGTAGTAAAACAAACACCACAACGTGACCCGGCCAGAGTACAACAGTAGTAAAACAAACACGTGACCCGGCCAGAGTACAACAGTAGTAAAACAAACACCACAACGTGACCCGGCCAGAGTACAACAGTAGTAAAACAAACACAACAACGTGACCCGGCCAGAGTACAACAGTAATAAAACAAACACAACAACGTGACCCGGCCAGAGTACAACAGTAGTAAAACAAACACAACACCACAACGTGACCCGGCCAGAGTACAACAGTAGTAAAACAAACACAACAACGTGACCCGGCCAGAGTACAACAGTAATAAAACAAACACAACACCACAATGTGACCCAGCCAGAGTACAACAGTAATAAAACAAACACAGCAACGTGACCCGGCCAGAGTACAACAGTAATAAAACAAACACAACACCACAATGTGACCCAGCCAGAGTACAACAGTAATAAAACAAACACAACACCACAACGTGACCCGGCCAGAGTACAACAGTAGTAAAACAAACACAACAACGTGACCCGGCCAGAGTACAACAGTAATAAAACAAACACAACAACGTGACCCGGCCAGAGTACAACAGTAATAAAACAAACACAACACCACAATGTGACCCGGCCAGAGTACAACAGTAATAAAACAAACACAACAACGTGACACGGCCAGAGTACAACAGTAATAAAACAAACACAACAACGTGACCCGGCCAGAGTACAACAGTAATAAAAACAAACAACAACGTGACCCGGCCAGAGTACAACAGTAATAAACAAACACAACACCACAATGTGACCCGGCCAGAGTACAACAGTAATAAAACAAACACAACAACGTGACCCGGCCAGAGTACAACAGTAATAAAACAAACACAACAACGTGACCTGGCCAGAGTACAACAGTAATAAAACAAACACAACAACGTGACCCGGC